CCGGGACCTGCTGTACGCCAGTCAGGCGCAGTGTCTCTACGCCCTGGACCACTTGGGCATCGGAGGCCTGGCCGAGTTCATCTGCGAGGCCGAGGAGTGGGCAGAGCAACTGGAGACCTGGACGGATGAGCGGATCCGGGCGTCGCCGCTCTACGGTCTGCCGATCAGTCTGAAAGAGTGCGTCTCCGTGGCCGGCTACGACAGCCCCTCGGGCCTGGTCAAGAACGTGGGCAGACCGAATCGGGCCGACTGTCTCGTGACGCGATTGTTGAAGGATCAGGGCGCGATCCCGTTCATCTTGACGGCGATGCCGCCGTCGGGTCTGGCCATGGACAGCTGCAATCCGGTCTACGGGCGGGTGACGAATCCGCACTCGCTGGCGCACACGTCGGGCGGCAGTTCGGGCGGCGAAGGGACGCTGATCGCGGCCTACGCCTCGCCCTGTGGCCTGGGCACCGACATCGGTGGCAGCATCAGAATCCCGGCCGCCTTCTGCGGCGTCGCCGGACTGGCACCGTCGCAGAATCGCATCAGCAACAAAGGCATGAACACCCTGACTCGGTACCATGTCTTGCACATGCGCATCTCCATCGGCCCGATGGCTCGCCACGTCGACGATCTCGTCTTGTTGATGCGCGCCCTCCTCACCGCCGACATGTTCGGTCTGGACCCCTCGGTGGTACCGATTCCCTTCAACGAGTCGCTCTACGCACCAGCCGTACCGCTGGCGCACCAACTCACCATCGGCCATTACGGCTGCTTCGAGAACACGCATTGTGTGAAGTCGGTGCCCGCAATCCGACGCACTGTCGACCTGGCCAGACGGATTCTGGAGGCGCGAGGCCATCGGCTGGTAGAGTTTCATCTGCCCAGTCCCGAGGAGGCCTATCGCCTCGGTGTGCTCGCCATCTGTCTGGACGGCGGACAGGCAGCCATGGACGAGCTGCACGGAGAGCCGAATAGCACCAATGATCTGGCCAGCTACCTGGTGCTCCGGTTGCCAAGGCCGGCCAAACTCCTTTTCGCCCGAGTGCTGGGATGGCACTTTGGTCTGCCGGTGCGTCAGGCCATCTCGGGCACCTTCGGTTTGGCGAGTCTGCACGAGCTGTTTCAGTACACCCGACAGGTCGAGGCCTACCGCGAACGGGTCTGGCAGACTTGGGTGGGCGTCCACGATCGGCCCTTGGACGCGTTGATCTGCCCGGTAATGCCGATCGTGGCGCCTAGGCTGGACGAGGACACAGTGTACACTCTGCCCGCCATCGGGTATACAATGGCCTACAACATACTCGGCTGGCCGGCGGGAAGTCTGCCCGTCTCCCGGGTCTGTGTGGAGGACCTCGAGGCGACCAGTGCCGAGGCCTCACGATTGCGCCGGCTCGGCGACAAGTTCAACGCCCGAGTCCACGAGGGCCAGGCGGACTCGTTGAACTTGCCGATCGGAGTTCAGATTGTGGCGCCTCCATTTCGCGACGAAGTTGTGCTGCGAGTCATGAAGGAGCTGGAAGAGGATGCCCAGTTTTGGCAGTCAAAATGAAGATGAATATGATTCACAAATCTTGTTGTTCCTTTCAAGCATCATAATAGGTGGGCAGATGGCCGCATCTATCTTGTTTTTCCATTTTGTCCCAGGAAGGCATATGATTAAGACGATTCTACCAAATACCAACATTTCTACGCATTTTGCTTATATATGAGACTCTAAAAGGATACCTAAAGAGCAAAATAGACAAATGCTTTCTAGGCACTTTTTTTGCCGTCGAAAATAGATTCCTTCAGCCAGTCCAATTAGAAGAAAACGACGTAGTTCACGAAGTGCTCTCTCTCATCTGCCATACGTTTATGGGTTAGGAAGGCTACGAGAGTGGTTAAACCGATTTGAGTACAACTAGTAATGCTTGAATACAAACATGTAATTTGCGGTTTTGACTCCCAACGGGATTCGACTCCGGAACGTAAATATCGTGATGACATTGCCACTCGAATACACGACCAAAGGGTGTCCGAGGATCACAGGGCAGCTAGGACATTCAAGGCAATTCAGACCTCACAGAAATCACATCTATAGTGAGATTTCCAATAAAGCAAGAATATATTTTCCATTGAAATCAACATTGTTACTTACTTTGGGCATAAGTAGTTTTCGAGACTGCCAGTAACTCTCCGGCGATTTGGATGAGGCCTGACCTGCCGTGCATGCCGAACTTGCCCTATGACCAATTGGCACCCATGGCTGTGTGAGGCTGTACTAACGTCGCCACGATACTCACGGTCCGGTATCGAATCTCCAGATAGGGTTGCCGATAAAATGTGTGTTGAGGCCAGGTTTAAACTGCAACCCAGATAGCCTTTTATGAGGCAAGGCTGGGCGAAATTCACTGGTATCATCTGTTTATGGAAAACTCGACTATCAGTTTTAAGATCCCCTCACCCTACCTCGACTGTCTGAGCTCCCAGATACAGACTTCGTTAGTCTGCATTCAAGTAAATTTAAGTACTTATATTCCATAATTCATGTGCTGAATCTGACGCTAGTTCAGGCAAAACAGATAGGTAGAAAGATGAATGAAGATGAATATTATTTAGAAGTATTATGGATTCAAATATAGAAGTTGCTTCTTTTGGTTGATATCTCAAACCACCGTTTATCATTTATTGCTCTCTATTTCGAAGGAAAAGTTGGTTGAGAGGAATTCGTGATGTGCTCTCACCGGAAACTGAAGAAGGATTATTGTATTATGTGAGGAAGTTCTCGACTCACAGTCCTATGAACTCGATGAGCCTATGTTGAGCTTTCGTCTCTACCACCACCAGAGTAAGAATCCATACTTTACAAAATAGCTCAAAAATATAATAAACCAAGATAAAATGTAGCCGGCTACAACCCTAGCCAACCTAATCATGGAATGCTTCATTTAGATGGCAAGTTTAAGAATATACAAAGCGATTATGGTTGCAGCCGGCCACCCTTTCTCTTAGTTTAGTATATTGTTTGGTTTATTTAGTAAAGTATGAATTCTTGTTCCGACAGTACAGACGAAAGCTTAGCACAAGCTCATCGAGGTCGCAGAACGGTGAGACGAGGACTTCTTTACAAAATAATCCAGTCTTCCCTACGTGATAAGCCTGCTTCGGATTTCGGTGCGATCACATCACGAATTCATTCTAACCATATTTTTATTCGAAATGTAAAGTTATATCACTAAACGATTCTTCGAAAACCTGTTTTTCTTTATATCTTCAAAGAATAATCATTTTTCCTCAACTTCCTAACCCAATTCCTTAGGTTGTGTTGGTTCCAAAATCTTTTACTTAAACTCTCTTTTCTTTGTACTGCCAAAACACACAGTAAGCCTAGGAGTTTTAGATCATTCTATCGTATGCCTGGTTTCTGCT